GTGCTCCCACTGCTCCCGCGAGGTCATCCTTGCTTCCCATCTCACGGAAGAGTGGCTTAGCCCCCTGCGGCCAGGGTGACAGGTGTGGCTCCTACATCACCACATCCTACCCATGTTCTGTTTTATTGAAATCAAGCAGCTGTCATGGGCCAGAGTCCAAACCCGCTGCCTCGGGCAGCTGCTGGGAGGAGCAGCGCGCCAAGGCATGCTCAGTGAGCGAAGTGGCATCACTGTACTCCTGCAGCCTCTGCTTGCCTCCCTCCCATGATGTCAGTGCAGGAAGCCCTGAGGGCCTCCTGGAGGAGACGGTGAAGGCTCCTGTCATCCATGTAGGAATGTCTGGGCTCCTTCTGTCCTGCTTCTGAAGAGTAAGGGGAGAAGCTTCCCATGTGGCTCACTCTGCCATGTGCTGCATTTATGACCAAAGCTCTTGGGGCTCCATCCCACACCTGCCATTCAAAAGCTGTGTGAACTTCCACAAGTGACTTAACCTCTCTGGGCTTCTGTTCCTTCATTTGTAAGGCAGGGATAGAATAGCACTGCCTCACAGGGCTGCTGTGATGAAGACAAGTTTATGCGTGCAAGGTGCTTGGCACACGATGAGTGTGATGCGTGGTAGCTGTGCCTGGCACCGCCCTCCTCTGAGCACGTGCCGGACCTGCCTTGCCATGCCAGGCTCACAGTAGGTGCTTCATCAACACCGGACAACCCACCTTTCCTGGCTCTTTCCTATATCTCTCTGAAATGGGAAGGGGTGGGCCTGTTGCCCACATTTTGCTGAATAGGCAAATAGAGGGACAGAGAATGTAAGAGGCTTTCCCAAGGTCAGGGCTGAGGGAAGGGGCCAGGAAGGGAAAAACAAGCCTCCCTCATCCCCCAGTGTTCTCCAGACAACAGCAGCTTTGTTTGGGGAGGAGAGAAAATTCCTTCTGGAAACCCCTGCTGAGGGACCCACAGTATAGTGGTGAAAAACAGGACCTGTCCAAAGTCCCTGAGGTCAGCTGAAAAAGTGACAGGCATTGAAGCCAAAGTACTTGTGGGAGCAGCTTTGCCTGCTGCCTGGGCCCTCTCCTCTAGAGCAGGCTAGGGTCCAGGGAAACAGAGGGGTCCTTACGCAAGACAGAGATGAAACTGCTCCTGTCGGCCAGGATCCACACCCCGAAGCCCAGGATCACTGCACCCAGGATCTGGAAGGAGAAGGGGGCGGTTAATGGGGAGCCCAAGAGCAGGTGGGGTGAGGGGCTCCCCCAACTACACAAGAAGCCCAGGCAAGAGGGACCCAGAGGGAGACACTTCCATCCTTCTCGAGCCCCAGGATGTTGGCATGGCCTCAGCTCCCAAACCCCAGCAGTCCAGACAGCAGGACCAGGTGCGGGGAATCCCTCCTGCCTCCTGCCCTTCCCCCACCACGACGTGTGGTCAGACTGAGTCTACTGGTGCAGCCTACTGCCTGGGAGCCCTTCCTGTGCTCCTCTCTCCCCTCCAGCTCAGCTTAGGGCCTGGGAGCTTCCCAAACAAGGCTCCGCAGAAGGCCGTCCATGGACTTGAACATCAAAGCAGCTTGTCCTTTAGATCTTAGCAAGAGGCCACCTTCCCCCAGGAGCCTTCCTCAACTTCCCCAGGCAGACTAAGGTGCCCCTATTCTGTGGCAATCACTGTCTGATCCTGCTTAATAGCATTCCCAGTGGGTCTAATTCGCTGCTGTGTTAATTTCTCTGGCAAGACTGTGAGCCCCCTGAGGGCAGGGCTGGGTTGAACATGGCTCTGAATCCCTGGCAGACCTGTAGTACTAGGAGCTGAGTGGCTGAGGGAATGAATGAGCTCAGGACCCCAACTATAAATGCAGGATTAGAAATGTAAGGGAATGAGGGGTGACTGAGAGGTGATGGGGGACAAATGAGAAGCCCAAGGGTTCCCTGACTTTCTCCCCTCCACCAGGGCAGGGGTCTATAGCCTTTGCTCACCTCCACAGGTAGAGTCCCAGCCAAGATCCAGCATCCCACCAGGCTGGCTAAGGCTAGGGAAGAGCCTGCAGTCTGGGGAAAGACACACGTTCCCTTTGGGGTTGGGGGTGGCCCTGTGTCACCCCACAAGGCGGGCCATTACCTGGGGCCTGGAATGGACCCATCTAGTAGATAACCCATTTTGAGGATTCCACTTCAGCCACCATCCCATCATCTCAGGTCCAAGGCCAGCAGCTGCCTGAAGCCTGCAGCCTGGGGTGAGCATGGGTCACAGGGTCTCCATCAACATGTCTTATTGTCACTGAAGCTGGCCCCAGGGCCAGAGTGAGACATGAGACATGTGCCTCAGGTACAAAGTGGAAGAGGCCACCAAAAAAAAAAAAAAAACTTATAATCAAGATAAATAATATTTTGAAGAAATACTTTTCAGAAAACAAAATTAATGCAAAAAATCCATGATGAACTTCCAAGCTTTGAAATAAGGTTTTGACAGGATCAGTGTGACTCAGGCCTCCCATGGCTCGATGGGGTACTGCCTACTGGCCTGACCTTAGTCCCAGCCTCTGCAGAGAACTGCAGCTGGTGGCCAGGACCATAAAGGCACAGTGACCACGCACACTTGTCCCTCACTGTCTTCCACCAGGATCATCAGTGAGCTGCCATTTGTCCTCCCTCTCATCTAGCCAGATGGGCCCTGTTATTGTCCCCATTTTACACACAGGGAAACTGAGGCCCTGATTTCATCCATCAGGAATTGGAAGTCAGATGGTGGCAGGGGAACTGTAGGGATATTTGGGTTCTATCCTGGGCCCTATCCTAGAGAGCTGGTCTCTGGGGACAGGAAGGCAACTGAGGCAGTGGGGAAGGAAAGGATCCACTTGAGGATGGGGCCACCTTGTCCTTTGTGTGAACCACAAAAGTTATATAGTAACTGAGGGTAAGGTTGTCAGAACAATAGGTAGAAACAGTTTGCTAACTACAGAGAAGAAACTTAATGATTGAGTACCGGTGTGACAACAGCCTGTCTGGCTACCTGCATCACAGGACCACCAAAGATAGTACCCACTGCCATAGACATATGGAGTTGGTGATGTTAGCTCGTTTCTTGCTTCTTGGCCTTTTCTACTGCTTTGCGTGGACTGCCTGTATAAACTGGGGCTCAACAAGGAGACTGCGTGGAGAGACTGCAGGCCCACCTTTGGGTCATCGCCCGCCCGATCCACCAGCCTGTAAGTAAGTTACCCTCCTCACTAAAAATCCTGTGCTCTCATGGAGTGCCTGCCTGGTTTTTCGGTCTTAAGATACCTTGTCAGTTTGGTGGGCATTTTGACTTTGCTCCACCTCCAGACAGTGGGCTTTCTAGGACCTGGGAGTTTGGTTCTCAAAGACTCCTGACCCCTGCCCACCCTGCCCCCACCTCATAGTACAGCCAGGCAAGGGCCAGTCCTCAGGCCCACAGTCTGCCCCTCTGCAACTCAGGTCCACATGGACAAAACCCCCTGCCCCTCTCACCTCCTGCACTCGTGGGGCTAACCAGGAAAACAGCCACTCCAAAAAGGAAGTGGGAGGCAGGGCAGAAAATTCCCTCTGGGCCACATAATCCCATATAGATCAAAATCCCAGATGGCCCAGCCAGCTCCTCGGCTTGCCAAGAGGAACCCAGAGAAGGAAGTCCCTGATGGTGCACGCTTAGTCCCTTTGTGGGTCCGATGACTGCAGCCTGCCTGTGAGGTGTGGCTGGACCAGTTGCCAGGCCGTGGGACAACCAGGAAGGAGGCTGGGCCGGGTAGCCTACCAGAGTGAGCTAGGCCCCATGGCACCCCCTTTCTCTGTGAACCAAGATGGGGGCCATGGGGCACACCCCACATTAACCACCGTCAGCCCAGCTGGAATACCCAGTAGAGGCTCATGGCCACAGCACCAGCTGCCTCTGGATTTCCTTGGACCTAAGAAAAGCAGATGGGGTACCTTACTGGGAGTTTGGGGTCAGGCGGGAGCACAGGTAAGGAGGTATGCATGCAGAAGTGTGTGTGATCACACACAGCAGCCAGGGTGATTTTTCCACACCACAAACCCAATCATGTGACCCCTTCCCGATGTGCGTACAACAAAAACCAGAGCCCTTCCAGGGCAGGCCTGCACGGTCTGTGCTCTGGAGAGAGAGGCACATGCTGCCCCCCAACACAAGCTCTGTAAGTGTAGAAACCGGGGTGCTCTGCCTGTGAACATCTGAACATGCTGAGGTGTCACAGACATCTGTTGAAGGGCGATGTGCAAATGAACAACATGCACTGTCTCCTCCAGCCCTCTCCTCTCCCTCCCTCTAACCCTCCTGTGATGACAGCTGCCCTCCTCCCACCACAGGCAGTTGACACCTGACTCCTGCCAGCCCCTGGAGCAGCTGGGAGTAGGCCAAGCCCTCGATGGCCCCAGACCAGCCCCAAGCTCTGGCCAGAGCAGTTTTTCCAGTCTCTGGTTCTATAGGGCAGCCTGGAGCAGGACAGGAAGGGATGCCCTGGCCAAAACCATCAACCCTGCTCCCTTTCTCCACTAGGTCTCAGCGCCTGTCTCCCCCACCCTCCCCCACTGCATAGAAGACCAAAAGTATCTATGCCCTTGAACCCTAAGCTCCGCCACCTCCTAGGCCAGAGCCCAGACCCCTTGCTCTAGTCCCTCAAGCCGCTAGGAATGGAGCCACAGTACTCCACCTCCTGCACCCCAGTCCTGGCCTGTTGGCCCTTTAAGCTGGGTCTTGATCCAGAAGCCAAGCGCCTGCCAGGGAAAGCTTGGCTTTGCCTGCATGGGCAGCTGCTTCCCAGAGGCCTGCTCCAGCCAGGAGGGGCCTGACCACCAGGCTGGGGAAGCCAAGGTGCCCAGGCCCTGCCCCTGCCCTGGGTGGGTCCCACGCCTGGTTGCTATGGGTGGAGGGCCGGAGCCATGGCGGGGCCTCAGCACAGTCCTCAAGGAGGGGGCTGGGGCTGGAGCTGGTGGACAAACAGCAGGGCAGGTAGCACCAGGGCTGTCCGTGTGTGCTTGTGTACACATGTGTGTATGTGCACATGTGCCGGGAACACACCTGTGAGTATCTGTGCATTGGCTTAAAGTTATGACGAGGAATTTAGAATGATTATTTATTTCCCAGACTTTGTATAATCTCATGTAACTTGTGATGTAAAACATTTCCCCCCACAAGTAACTCCCATCCACTGTAGAAAATTTGGAAAATACAGAGAAGCAAAAATATAAAATCAAAACTTCCAGGAACCCCAACATTAACATTCAGAGGTATTTTCCTCTCCTCTAAAACATATTCATGTTTTTATGAATATATACATTTTAAAAATAAAATTGGATCATAATAAACATCCTATTGTAGAACCTGAGTTTTTAACAGTGTGGGTGAACCAACAGCGTGCAGAAGCCATGGTTCCCACCACCACTCTGGGGTGATGAGGCCTCTCCAGGCCACTCGCACCTGCCACACACTGTCACTCTCACATTGACACATGCACCCACACTCACACACATACACATACCATCATCCTGGCAACTCCAAGGCAGGATTCAGTCAGTGCCAGGCCAGCAAGGAAAACCGAGGCCCCAGAAGAACCAGCTCCAGATGTGCACGGAGCTTATCTGGGGGACGTGGCCAGGCCTGGGGAGTGGTTCTAGGGAAGGGGGAACATGTCCCCCAACCCTGGCCCAGGCCTGGCCTCCTCTTGCTCACCCTATTGGAGATCAGGGAGATATTCCCGACCACACAGATGAGGGTGTCGTGGGGCAGCTGAGACCCAGAACTGTAAGAGGTAAGTTCTCTATGTGGGAGGAGGGTTAGGACAGAATGAGAAAGATGTCAAGGGGCTTCTTCCAATAACTGCTGATGAGTTAGGGGGCATCCAGGAGCTCTCTTCTCCTCATAGCACCTCCAGCTTGGCCGGCCCAGGCTTTGGGTGCTCTAGGAGAGGAGAAGGCTAGACGGGAATCTAGTGCTTTACCAAAAAGCCAGCTGGGAATCTCCTCGCTGCCCCCACCCAATTCCACCCAGGACAGTTTGTCCTCAGCCCTCACCACCCATCCCCATGGCCTGGAGGGCTCTGGAGGTCTCAGGCTTGAATGTCCCTGGGTGGAGAGTCTGTTGGAGGCGGTCAGGGCACTGGCTGTACTTACAAAGAAGAGCAAGTTGAAGAGGAAGAGAAAGTATTTGGTGACTTTGATACAGGCTGACCCCATCCTGCTGGTCCTGGAGCTCCCTGGGGAGAAGAGAGAAGGCAGGTGGGTCAGTGCAGGGTGGGGCCAGGGTGGGGGGAAGGGGCGCCAATGCTGGCGGGTCTTTGTGACCCCTGATCCCAAATCATCTCAGTTCATCCTCACAGCAACCCTATGAGGTAAGTACTACAACTGCCCCTGCTTCACAGGACGCTGAGGCCCAGAGAGGTTGGGTGACTGGCCCAAAGCCACACAGCCAGGAAGTGTGGTCCTCCAAGCAGTCTCAGCCACCTGACTCTCAGCAGTCAGGGTCTGAGTCAGCCACTCTACCAGGGCTGTGGCTGGACGGAAATTAAGTGGGGAGACCCTCACCTCCACAACCCTAGGCCCTGCAACTTGCCCAGATGGACTGTGGTCGAAGCCAGGAGACCAGCAAGTTAGTGATCAACTGACAGAGACCCAGAGGTGACACCTGTGGCTTGTTCTGCAGATCTGCAGTCTCCCTTTGGGACATAGAGGGCTGGGGCAGTGGGGGCTGCTGAGGAGAGAAAGAGAGATCCGGCTTCTCAGAAAAGGGACTGAGTGCTCCCCACCCCGCCATTACAAAGGGAATAAATATGCATTATAGAACATCCGACAAATAGAGAAAAATAGAAATTAACAAAAATGTTTATCTCACCCCAAAGATAAAAAATTATCATCCTTTAAATAGCTATACTTACAGTGTGTACATGTATAACAAACGGTTTTAAACAAAATTGGGCTCATCCTGTATATAGTGTTTTGTAGTCTGCTTTTTTATTCTACAATATACAATCTCTATATGCTGATAAAATGTGCTTCTACAATGTAACTTTAATGCTGCATAGGATTCCATCCTATTGATCAGTACTTAACTAACATGTTGGGGGCCACAGACTCCCCAGAAAATTCACGTATACGTAGTATTTTGCAAATAATTTCTGGGGGTTCATGGACCCACTCAGGAACCTCAAGGACCCCAGGTTAAAGTCTCACACACAGATATTTCACAAAGCACCAAACCAGTACTCTAAGACTGGACACACAGGTTGTTTCCAAGTTTTCAGAGTCACCCTAGATGACATAAGTCGTGCTGTGAAATGATGTGATCCATGCTTGAGCACACTGTGCCCCCCAACAGTGAAATCCCAGGCAATGGAAGAGGGAAGCTGGAAGCTGGCTGCCCTTGCCCAGTCCCTGAAGACAGACAATCCAGGAATGGCAACTGCCAGCCCTCAGGCCCTGTGGGGTAAAGGGAGCCAGCAGGGCAGCTGGGCGGGACAGCTGGCCTGGGACAGCTGCATGGGCAGAGCTGGGCTGGGGCGGTGGGGGGAGCGGGGGGCCAGGCACCAGGCCCAGCTGTGCTCCCACTGCTCCACTGCTCCAGAAGGAGGAACAGGCTGCAGAGCAGAGAGGAAGGAGGGTCGAGGCCCCGCTTCACCCCCTTCCTCCTCCTAAAGTCTTGTGAATTTCCCCATCGATATGTAGTCTCCCAACCCTTTTCTGGACATGCTAACAATCCACAGTCTTCTGTCATCTTTGTGAAGCAGGAGCTCAGCTTCTCCTTTATATACCTCCAGCAATGGGGGAGGGGTTGGGGGGAGGCTCACAACCTCCCCAGAGGTCCAGTTCAGCTTTCTGCAACCTTTGTTGGAGGAAGTTTCTTTGGCTGCCTTTCTAAAATTCAGATTTGGACACAAAGTGAAGCAAAGCTTCAAAGAAAGAACAGGCTGCCTGTGTTGTAGTGAGCTTCCCGTCACGAATGGCATGGAAGCAAAGTGTGAATAAATATTTACTTACAGGGAATCTGAGTGTGACAGGGAGAGGGTGGATTAACTGGCTCTTCCAGTCTACCAAGGCCCAAGGCCTGGGTCTGAGGATTGTAGATGGTGGTGACTCTGGAGCCTAGGAAGTCTGGCCTTGGCAACTCCCCCAGGGCCTCTCCCAGACCTGGAGAGAAAAAGACATGACTCCCCCATGTCAGCAGAGCCAGAGATCTGGGATGCCCAAACCCAGGCCTGGCCGGGAAAGGCCTGCCGGGGCCGCACAACAGCAAGGAGAGCTGTTGGTTTTCCTCTCTCGCGCCTCCCAGCTCAGCGCCTGACACACCACAGGCACTTCATAAACTCTCCAGAACAAAGCAGCAACAGAGGAAAGATCCTTTCCCAGAGCCAGACGTGTTTTTCTTTCCTACCGGGACCTGCTTTGTTTCAGCATGGCTGAGTCTCCTTCCAGTGCATGACACAGGCACACCCTGAGGGACCGGCCCAAGGCTCAGCACCCAAGTGGCGCTGGATAAGTTACCAGCAGCCAGCGTGGCGGTGCCCTTGGCATTCTTGTGAAATTGGAGAAGTGTGGAAACAGCCCCTTGGAGACTGCATCAGACCCGCTGTGTTGCAGTTTCAGAAAGTCCAGGAAAGGGGTTCTACACTTTCCTGCTCTTGCATGATCTGCTGAGTCTGGGTCTCCAGGGCAGCCTCAAAGGGAGGTGGGCATTCAGAAAACGGAAGCTTTCAGAAAAGAGTAAATATGGGGTCTGCTGAGGGAGGAGGAGTGGGCGCATGTGAGAAACACCTACTTCAAGAGGCCATTCTCAAAGATCAGCCCCTCGTTCCTCACAACCAGCCCACGAACTGGGTATTCCTAGGGGACCTGAGGCTCAAACAAGTTAAGTTACTTGTCCAAGTACCACAGCTCATAAGCGGTGGGGGTTTCCAAAGTCCAAGATCTTTCCCCTGTGAAGTGCTCCCTTCTGGCAAGTGGCCAAGACTATAAAGGGATCTCTAGGGATTCCTCTGTCCAGTTAGGTGGTGAGCATCAAGGTGACTGCTCAAAGCAGCTCAGGTTAGTGGGTAAAGAAGAGTCTAGGAAACCTCCCTGCCAAGGTCCCAACTCAGCAGCATCAGGCCCACACCCAAGGCAGATACTGCTCGGCTGCTATTCCCCTGATATTCCAGATGCTGGGCAACCTTGGCTGGTCTCTCGGTCACTCACACAAATTGCATCAGGCATTGGGCTAAGCCCTTCAGCACCCTATAAGCAAACTGAGGCACAGGGGAGTGAAGGAGTGTGCCCAACATCACCAGTAGGTGGACAGGCAAGGACAGAGCCCAGGGTGCTGTTGCCTTAGGCCACTCCATCCTCTCCATTCATGTAGGAGGCAGCTGGGTGGGTTCAAGTGCTGAAATAAGAGCTAGGCAGCCCTTGACTGGCAGGCAGCCCAGCCAATCCGATGGGCCCAGAGGCTACCTGGGAATCGCTTGAGGGAAGAGAAGGTGCTGGAACCAGAGCCTGGGGTAGGCGGCTCCAGGGCACATTGGGCAATATCCAGGATACAAAGTCTTTCCAACCTGTAGGTACAGACGTTTCCACCTCACAGTGACAAGGAGTGGATGGTTCCACAAAGGGCAGGGCTCAGCTTGGCTCAGGTTGGGGACACACCCAGGGCACCCCACGATAAGGTGCAGCATGATCTTCAGGGAACCCACCACCACCAACCCTGAGGAGACTTTACAATTGGACTCAGAAGGCCCACTGAGGAATGGGCCTCAGTCTCTCATCTGTGGGATGGAGACAAGGGTTGGTATGGGCTAGGGGTCAACAATTAAAGTCTGAGGACCAAATCTAGCCCCTGCCTATTTTTTGTCTAGTTTGTAAGCTAAGAACACATTTTACATTTTAAAATAGTTGAAAAAAAATAAAAAGATTTTGCAATGCATGAAAATTACATGAACTTCAAATTTCTGTGTCCATAAATAAAGTTGTATTGGCACATAGCCACACTCACTGGACTAAAACATTTACTATCTGGCCCTTTGCAGAAAAGTTTGCCAACCTCTGGTGTAGGGAAGCAGAGCGTGTACAAACAAGTGTCTGTAAGAGGCAGCGAGCCTCAGGACCACCCTTAGCGTGGGGTCTTGGGGAAGAGAAACAGCAAGCTGGGGGGCAGGAACTGGCTGCCACTTAGAGAGAGAAGACAGGATCCCTGAACTAGGGTTCATTTACTGGCTGTGCCAACACATGACCACAGGAAAGCGACTTCCTGGGCCTCGTTTTCCTCTAAGTGGGACTCCTAATTGCACCCCCTGTTGTGAAGAGATCGTGAGGTCAGTGCCTGGCATAGCCAGGGCTTAGTGTCATTGGCTCAGTACTTACAGAAGAGGTGAGGGGTGAGTGTTTCATTTACAGATGAAACTCAGCAAAAAGAACGTTCCCGTATGTTATACTTTCTTGTATATACTTTCTGTAAACACTGGAGGTTCTGCCCAAGCTTTCCTGCTAGGCTGTGTTTAAAAAACTGACAACACAAGGGAATGAGATGCAAGCACATCTCATGGGAAAATTCCAGAATAGTCAGAGACCTATGTGAGCAGCAGGATGGAGGTGCTGATTTTATGCTGTACTTGATAGCAGGTAAATTGACCATTTCTAAGCAACTGCAATTCAAATTGACCAAACATGTCATTTTATGCCAAATTGGTTTGTACTCATACAACAAAATATTATACTAATATTTTACTAACTTCTACTCATCCCTTAATAATCACCTCAGACATCACATCCTCCAGGGAACCTCCTACTCCAGCTACTGCCACTCCCTGACCCCCAAGACACATTCTGGTTGGGGCATTCCCTTTCTGCTTCCTTCCAATAGTGCTGGATATTGGAGCAACTCCCAGAACAGGCTGTGGCCTGGGTTTAAATGCAGTTCTATCACCTCCTGGCTTGTGACCTTGGACAAGTGACTTAACCTCTCTAAGCCTCACTTTTCTCATCTGTGAAATGAAGAAGATTAAAGCCTATTTTGCAAATCTGTCCAAATGTTAAATTCAATGTTGCGAGTAAAATGCCTGGCACATGGTAGGCTGTCAAAGACGGCACTTACTGTAACTCATGCTATACTTTCCACGTGTTACTTGTCCACCGCCCCTGTGGACTGTGATGCACTGAGGGGAAGACTATGTGTAATTATCAGAACAAAGTAGGCTCCCAACAAATGTTGCTGAATGAAAGACTGGGTGGA